CCCCCCCCCCCCCCCCCCCCCCCAATGTTTCCAGCTACGTGTTTACAATAATACAGCTGTCATTTAACACAAAGAGCAGACAATATGCATTCATAAGCACATTGTCATTCTGGATGCAAGACACCGCAGTATTTGCATATGTGCTCTCATTAAATCAGTCGCTGGATTTCTCTGAAATGTGTCTCTGCTGTCAGCCTGAAGACATTCGGACGTCTTGATGCTGTTTTCAGGTGTTTAGGAAAATGTCCAGACGTGGGAACATTGAATTAACATCCTGCAGGTTGCCACAATACATTCAAATATATATTTTCTTGATAAGTTTAGGGAATATTGCTGTTAGGATACAAATATTTGAAACCCGTGACGAGCATGAAGAGCAGACTTTTGTTATGCAAGCTGCTGAAAGACAGAGTTTGGCTCGACTTAAAGGTCATGCAATATTGTCTGAATTTATGATACACGGTTATACCTGTCGGTAACTGTAAAAACAGAGCGGTGGAAAGATTGCAAATTTATTCGTGCACAACACTTACCCTATATGCCCGAGAGAGAGAGAGAGAGAGAGAGAGAGAGAGAGAGAGAGACAGAGAGAGGTAAGAACGATGGGGAGGGGAAGAGGGAGCATGATGACATAGAGAACGAGGGGGATAGAGGAGGAGTTTTCCTAGGAGAGGGAAAGAGGAGGGATGTGGGAAAAAAAATAGGTGGTGGTGTGTGTGTGTGTGTGGGGGGGGGTAGTCGAGCAGGAAAACATGAGCGAGAGGTTGGAAAAAGACAAGTTAGCGAAAGAGCAGGAGGTAAGAGAGGGCGCGCGAGAGTGTGAGTCAGTGAGAGGGTCCCCGCCCGACCACGAGTTCTCTTCCTGGGAGGCCTCTTCATGAGGGCTCCTATCTGATCACTTCCTTTTGGAGGGTGGTTGTGTGTGAGAGCGAGAGAGAGAGAGTAATTAAGCTTCTTCACCCACTTTACCCCTCTGCTTAGTGAATCCGCACACAAAGCCATTTCATTATCTCTGTTTGTCAACCCCTTCTCCACCTGGACTGAGTGTTTTTCTGTGTGTAAATGTCTGTGTGTGTGTGTGTGTGTGTGAGTGAGTTCCTGCTGGGACTCGGGGGTTGCTCTCCCCCCGGGCATTCTTTTAAAAGAGGAATTTCTTTAAAGACAAAAAGGCAGGAGGGTTGGGTGAGGGGTGTGTGTGGCGGTGAGGTGGGGGGCTGCTTTCCCTTTGTCGGTAATCAGTTTGAAATGTTGAACAGTTTGCTGCTGCTGTTATTCTCCCGAAACCTCCAGAGTGTGTGTTCAATTCAGAGTGTGTGTTCAATTTATGGAGCTCCCGTGAGTGTGAGTGTGTGTGAGGGGGGGGGGGTTCTTACTTTCTGCTCTTAACTACCAGACTGTTGATGTCTACATGTGAACCGTTGTAAGATGTTTCAGGTTTTGAGTGTGTGTTTTAATGCGTGCGAGAGAGTGTGTGTTTTAATGCGTGTGTGAGCGAGAGGGTGTGTGTTGTAAAGCGTGCGTGCGTGCGAGAGAGAGAGAGAGCGAGAGAGAGTGTGTGTTTTGTGTAGCGAGGTTAAAGTGGGCCCCTAGTGAGATTAACCTCTGGCCCGTGTCACCGTTTGGCATGCAGGCCCCACCCATCTCTGCCTCCAGATAGCCAGTATCAGGCTTTGTCTCTCCTGTAGCCACACTACCCCCTCACCCCCCCCCCCCAACCCACCCTTCTCTTCTGCACATCAAGAAACGCAAAAGAAGAAGAAAGACGATAATCATGTGACTTCCTGTTGAGGAGCTGGCTACATACGGCGGAGATGATTGGTAATTGGAAAGGTGGCGGAGTAGAAAGCAGAGCCGGGCTAATAACAAGTCGCACTTCACCTGAACGTTTGCATCTCGCACATTTATTCATTTCATTTCATTTAAATAAAATCCTAAACGCTAAATTCAACAATAACACATTAATAAAACAAATGCAAACATATTCAAATATGTCTACTGCAATTTTTCTTTCTGCACTTTGATCTTATGTTTAATTTATTTATTAGCAGAATAAAGAATTTATTCAACACTTTTATCAGATGTAACAAAGTAATAGAGCTGCAACTAGCAATTATTTTTATTATTATTTTATCTGCAGATTATTTTCTTAATAATTCTTTTTTTTTTTTCTTTAACATGACCTATTCCATTTGCTTTTTAAAATCTGACCAAGAGCCAGAGATATTCAGTTTATTGTTTAATATGAAAATCAAAAGCATCAAATCCTCGTATTTAAGAAGCGAGGACTAAAGAATATTTGGGAATTTTTGCTTGAAAAATGACTAAAACTATTGATTTTGAAAATAGTTGTTTTCTGTCAGTCAACTAATTGTTTATTTTACTAATAATTAAATCTCGAAAAGATTATGAAAATCGACACAATAAAAGAAGATTTAGAGAGTTTTGGAGGGATTTCTTTGGTCTAAACAGCGTAATAATTCTAATATTAATAATTTAATAATAATTGTAACTTTTCCCAAATGAAAAACACGGTTGTCATTCAGCATATGACTCTGATAAGAAGATGCTGTGTCAAAATCAGACCACAGATCTGCCACTTCTTCTTGTAATGAATAGATAGACCTACTTTGATCATATTAATCTCTTAATATCTATGTCATAAGCAAGCAAATCGGTAAATAAGCATTATCCCACTTCAATGGTGTTTGACATGCATAATGCTGATGCGTGCAGGTTGAAGTCGGTGCCAAAATATACAGAAGAAAAAACAGTTGACAAACAAATGAAGTCAGCTGCAAAATGAATCAGTTGAATAATGATTTACATTTAAACAGTGTTCAATAATAATACTACTCATACAACTTAAACTAACACGAATGCAGTTTATATTTGTTAATGCTGTCCATTATGGTGAAGGTTTAGTATCAAAAATGTTATTTCTCGACCAGTTTTGAACCTGTATAAAATTATTATCTGACATTAATCATTTCCTATGATCAGACTTCACTTCCTCAAATAGTTAATATTTGATTTTTGAAAGAACACAACCACTTGTGTCTAAAACACGTTTGTTTTTCTGCTCTGAATGCCTCCGGTTATGAGCTGGCCGTGTGTTTTATCACCGGCCACCTCGACGAGGTTCATTTCCCCTCTCGTGCTGATAAACGTAGAAAGATGATCTAGTGCTTCCTCCCTCAGATCAAATATTTGCCCCGGTCATAATCGGGGGGTGTTGGATGTTGTTAATTTGAGGCAGGGGGAAACATGAATTCTTTTAAGTGTTTGATGGGGGGGTTGGACAGGGTTCAAGGGTCAGGGCCACTAATGACAACGTGTTGAGGAGGGCTGAGGTGTCAGCGTCATAAGAGCTGCTCTGTTGGTGGTTTCCATCGACATATATGTGTGCGCGTACTTTTTCTTTTCTCCGCCCTCATCCAGCTTTCTCTCTCCTCTTTCTCTCTCCTCTTTCTCCTTTGCTTTATATGCATCCTGTTGGGGTTGTGTCCATCTGAGCTGATCTGGCCCAGCTTTGTCCACTTAGCATTTCCTGTGTGTAAAAAGCTACTTAATGGCACCGCACCACATGGCGACCGCCATCTCCCTCACGCTCAACCCCCTACACATCCCCTATCCTCTCAATACGAGCACGATCCATAAGCGCGCGGCTCCGCGTGGGCCACCTCTGATTTAAAGCGTCCCGCAATTAGCCATTCCATAGCCGGTGGTCGCCACGGAGAGTGGCTTGGGGGGGGGGAGGATGGCGGGTCTCCTCTCTCCGCTTCCCCATCCCCTCACGTTACAGCTTCCTGTATTGATTGCTGGGTCTGGTGATGACGAGGGCCTGGCTGATGAAAAGGAGGGCTATTTCTATCCAGGATGTTGGAGTCAGTATTGATCGCTGGCTCCTTCCTACACATACACGCACACACACACGCACACACACACACACGCGTGTAGAACCAAAGGAAGATATTTATTACATATAAGGAAGCTTGTAAGCATAATCAAGCCATTTCAGAGTGTGTTGGTATCCATTTTGTTGGCTCGGTTTCATCAGTTTTGAGGATGACCGCAGCTGTCTGTTGGTGGCTGTGAGTGAAAGCACTGCGAGCTGGTGTGGTCCGCCAGTCGTGCAGGGGGTGGGTGGTGCTGGGACGGTTATGCCACTGACCCCTGGATTTCTGCTGCTGACCTGTGGGGGGCTCCTGATCAAATGGGGGTTTTGTTCCTGGGCTCCCCCCCAGGTCCAGCCACCGATCAGGAGTTGCTCCTCCATTGGAGCTGAACAGAATGCGCTGGAGGCATTTCCATGAGCCTCCTCCTCCTCCAAACTCCCTCCCTCATCCACCACCCCCCCCTGCTCCAGGCCACTCCTCCATTTTGTGTTCTCTCTCTCGCTCTCTCTCTCTCTCTTTCTCTCTCTGATGTTCTCTCGTTCCCTCTCCCCGGCCGTGCCCTTTTTTGACCTCGGTGCGTAAACTGAAACGGGTCAGGACACCCGCCAGGTCACCCGAGAGGAGGAGTCTCGGGTTACAGGTTCTGATTTGTGAAGTATTTATTTATTTTTTTCTTCACACAGACACATGCACACGCCAACACGGAAGCACATACACACAGATAAATCCACATGCTGCGTTTATTATGCAACTGAGGAGAGACTGAGCTGTTGCAAGGCCATGCTTCAAAAATATTACTCATCTGAGGCATGAGTGTGATGTCTTATATGGAGGACACGTGTGTGTGTGTGTGTGTGCGTGTGTGTTTTCCTGCATTTCTGCAGAACAAAAGGGGTTGTGTGGTTTCCTCACTGGTGCATTGTGGGCATTGACGGGGTTGAAGAGGGGGTAGGGTGCTGAGACGAACCACTCAACTTTGACCTGGAGAGACGAGCTGCTGGTGGACTGAAGACAGGAGCGAAACAGGAAGGGCTCATGCGCCACACGGTCGAGAGACGAGTCAATGATTATTCATCATTATTCAGAATCCGTTTGTTTTGTGGGGGATGGGTGCATGTTTGTATTTGCTTCCTACTGATTTCTGATGCAGGAATGCCTTTCAATGTGGATGGTCTAATGATGGAAATCATAAATCAATTTTAATGTGAACGAGCAGGGTTCTTCTGGCTGCTTGAGCCTCCATCAGTTGTTGTTTATAAAAAAATAGAAAGCCAGGTTTTGTGTATGCATGTCGTTATAAATAAATAAATATAAATGAATCCATTGCTTTTGCAGCACAGCAACTAAACATCGATCTTCATCGGTTATATTAAGCCACGAGCTCAGTTGTTGACTACCCTCATCATCCCTTCTGTTTTCTTCTGGTCTGTAAAATCTCATTTCCATTCCCTGATCCTCGTCCTTTTTCCCAAAAGCCAAATCCAATACCTGAATACCCAAAATGGACGATTAGCAATCGAGTAGAAGCAGCGTGGCCCTGGCTGTAACCTCACTGACTGCAGGGAGAGAACATCTGAGACAGAAAAAGAACGAGCTCATCTATGGCAAATTATTTGTAATGAGCCCCAGAAATTTTCCTTTCTTATGAATTGAGGAAATAAAATGTGTGGAAATAAGGAGGACAATTTGCTTCAAAGAAGTTGCACGAGGCAGAGTACTTTTTTTAAACAAGTTTACACTTTGTAACTTGCTCCTGGTGACGTCTTTGTTTGATTCTGTGATATCTGTGGAGTGCCGAATGAGTTTGACTCGATTTGTAGCTGCTCCTAATTCCTGAAGATAAAGATGAAAATGAAAAATATACACATTTCTTTAAAATGAATTAAATAAGTGCATCACATGTATAAGGATTTAAACTGTATCTGTGCATGCTGTATATTTTATGGCCCTTCATAAACCTCTCAAGTCTTAGTTCACAGCAGGGAGAAGAAATTCTATTCATCTATTTTCTCTTTAATCAAAATGTTTTTTTAGTTGTTTAAATTTAATAAATTTGTCTTTCATACGAGACCTTTTTAGGTAAAAAGTAAAAGTTTGACATAAAATAAAACGAACTAACACATTTAAGTTGCCTATTGTCAAAAAGAATGTGGATTTGAATGAAACTGTCCTATAAAGAAAACCTAAAACTGATTCATATATTGAATATAAACTCAGATTTAATGTGTATATCCTGAAAAGATTTTCGTGCATTACGTGGAAGTCTCGGCCTTTTCCACATTACTACATTCTACTGAACGTTGAAATATGTTTAAAAAAAATATATTTCAGTCAGATTATTCTGAAATCTGCAGAATTCGTTTATGTGGATTTTACAGTACTTCTATTATTATACATTTTGATTCCTAGAGCTTATTCTCAACAAACTTGTGTTTTAAAAGCAGATAATGAAACTCTAATTTAACCCAGTTTTACACTTGTATCCTCATGTCTTGTATGTCACAGTGCAGTGGTTCTATTCTTTGTTTTTAATTAATCTACACATTTTGTCTCACTGCTTTCTTCATCCCCCACCTCTTCACTCTCTTACATATTCATATATATATTGATTAATAGACCACCTATAGAGCACCTTTACCTTCATGCTACTGCAGTCGTGGACACGGACAGAAACAATACTGCCGAGCACATTTCCTCTCCTTACTTGCGCATCTGATTCCCTCTGGTCATTTGACCATTTCTCTCCCTCTTTCTCCTACAGATCCGTGAATAGAAAGATAGCCCGTGTGTTATTTATAGGCCCGGATGTATAGTAGGTAGTAGGTTTGGCTCTGCACTCTGCGTGCTCTTGTGTGGGTTGTGTGTGTGTTTACCTCTGCAGGGCTTAGCTGCGATCCACGAAGGTCACATACAGTGCCTATCAGCCGTCCGCTCTGTGCGTTCAACAAGACATAAATCATTGTCCGGTGTTTATGTAGTAACTAAATCAATACTGCCGATCATGTAGATAAGATGCACGGTGGATGCACTGCGAAAATATGATTGCATGGGTGTGACGCACTCGTCTTTTTCTCTCTGCAGGAGGAATAGGAAGTGGCGCCTCTGCGAAAAGTAGATAAAGGCAGCAAAGCAAGGACGCTGTGTGTGAGATAAGTGTCTCTGTGAACAGACCGTCGTGGCAGTTGGTGCCAACCACATACAGTCAATGCACGTTGTTTTTGAGTGATGTCTTTCCGTGTACGTCGTGTGCTATACCGCATGCAGCAGTGCGCACAAGCATAATACAAAGGCATTTTACCTTTCACCTTATCAAGAACCGTTTCTGTGTCAAGCATACAGCCTTTGTCAGCTTACTGTATTATTGGAGGTTCCAAGAATACCCATGTAGAAGGCTGTCAATGTGAAGTATATCTCAGTACCTCTGTGTATATAAACCTTTTACAAATGACGTATTGGAGAGTGCTCCCAAATGATTCTATAACATTCATTTGAGTGACTCAGAAACATTTTCTCACTGCTGCGTTATATTAAAATGTGCTACAAAAATCATACGATTCATTTACAGTACAGTATATATGACTTAATGCAGACCCTTGTGTATTGCAGGCATTATCCATTTTTTTTTTTCAAATAATTCATTGAGTTATAAGTGCCTGCCAGTTTTAAATGGATAATTGCTTTTTTTCTCCCAACAGAGCAAGCTGCTGATGGAGGGCTTCCGCAGCTTAAAGGAGGGTGAGCAGGTGGAGTTCACCTATAAGAAGTCCTCCAAGGGCCTGGAGTCCCTGCGGGTGACCGGACCTGGTGGGGGACCCTGCGCAGGCAGCGAGAGGAGACCCAAAGGGAAGGTCCCACTCCAGAAACGCAAACCAAAGGGAGACCGGTGAGTATGATGTAATTTAAGAAACATGGGAATAAAAGACGTTAAGGCCTTTTTAAAAGGACGGAGACAATGCCGCGTCAGCTGCAACCTTGGCATGAATAAATAAGATGGATGAAGAAGGAAAAATGCTTTTGTGTCTGCAGGAATGTAATGATTCATATGCACCAGTCTCGGCTTTATCTAACAAAAGCTGAAAATATGTGAACATTGGCAGCTTGCTTTCAGAAAAGCAGGAGTGTATAGTCTATAGTAGAAGGAGACATATGTTATATGTACATCTCACTGCAGTGAGCTGTTTCTGAGTGGGCTGAGATTATAGATTAAATCTATTCAATCTGCCCGAGTACATGTCTGTTGCTATGGTTATTGTGCACAGTAATAAGGAATTGAATAGGGCACTTTGCCAGCCTTTACATTAGAGACAGCATTAGCACAGGGATGGATTGGCCTTATATGCATCTCAACGTGCCAGCAGCTCTATCAATTGTTTTGCACTCAGTACAATTCTAAAGCGTGCTTTGCTAACGTCGGAGCTCCTTAAACAGGAAGTTTTGCATGTCCTCCTGTTGACATAGAACAATGTATCTTATAGGATGGCATCACATGACTACATTTACATTAAAGCCCAGCTGTTTATGTTGCTGCATCACAGCTGCCTCAGTGGAACAACCGTGTGATGTCCCGCCTTTTTAAGGTGTGAAGAGAAAAAGCTTTTGTTAGAAAGGAGGAAACCGAATCTGGGAGAGAAGAAGGCTCCCCCGCTTGTTTTACACAGCTGAATAATTCAGTTCATTTGGGATAATTGATCCAGTGTTCGGTCAAGTGTCTTTCTACTAAGGTGGCAGCAAGACAGTGTTGGATTCAGAGATGGCAAGTAGGTATCTCTGTGATGTCATCTGTGTCTTTGTGAGCGTGCTCAGTGCAAGCGGCTCTGGTGGCAGTTATGATGCTCTGACCCCTGCTGGTCACTCTGCCATAAAACCAACGATTGTTTGGTGCTTTCTTTCCTCCAGTGTTCCATGGGTTTCAGGTGTTCGATGTAAGAATCGGATTGAAATATTCACCTTTTATGGAAGTACTCACTGGAGACATGAATTATGAAAGCAGTGCAAAAACAAAAACAAAGAAAATGTCTCCATACCAAATGAAACACACGGCATAAACAACCTTTCTCTGCTTTAGTCCCCAATTGTTTTCAGCTGTCTTGTTCATTAAGGCTGCATCAGAGGTGGTTTCTGCATATACAATATTTTTCATCAATTATGCGATTAATGAATCACCGTTAATACAAGGTATCAAAGACACTAATCTTTTACAATAATAGTTTTTACAGCTGTTTGTATTATAATTAGTTACTGCATCATTAGAGGATGATTTCTGAATACATGTTTAATATACTAAACGTAAAAATATAACTGTAACCGACTACAGATTGATACATAATGGTTGACACCATTTGATTTGATGTTTTGAATATTGTTTTATGGTTGTGGCAGTTAATTTAAATAATGGTATTGGAACTAATTTTTGTCTTTAAACCTGACTGGGTTGAGATATATTCCCCAGATTTGACTGTCATTGCAATAATGCATGAAAGAAAATATCCATTCATCCATAGATGAATGTTAAGCACTCGCTGGGAATAATTCAGCGCCAGTTCAGAAGCAATGTCTGAAAAACACTTCAAGCCTGCCATGATTTCCTTATTAATGAAGTGGCAGCATTTTGCAAAAATGCTGGTTTACTGTGTCCACGCTTCTTTTTGCTGATTGACTGTCAAAACTGGATGAAATAAAACAATTAAAACCATAACAGTGAGCCATTGTTTCATGATCAGCTTTAAGTTTCCACGGAAAGACAACATGCTTTAGTTTGGCGATATCCTTCAATTAAAATAGTCACCACACAGGGAAGTGTTTCACTGCTATGAAAAATAAACAGTGAATGAGTCCGCTGTTCTAGATTCTGTGACCTGAGAAGTGCGAATGATTGTGCTGCAGAACAAAACAAACTGAAAAGTGACACCCAAGCCTCAAATACAAACATCGAACACCTGAAAAGCAAAAGCTGTCCTTTTGATTTACGATGGTGCCAAAATAGTTTGTGGCGTCCTAGCGGGCTGAAATCTTGGCCACCACTGCCTTTTCTCTTTGTATTCTTTTCTCTTACAGCACCCAATTGCTTCTTGTCAAATTTGATAACACAGTGTAGTTTGGCATGCCACAGACTTCTCCTCACTGTTTGATCCAAAGCAATATCATGTGGCATACTGCCATCTAGTGCTGGATCCTAGTTGGAGCAAGTACTTCAACTCCACAGTGTTTTTCACTGTTTTTCCTGTTTTTTAGAGTAGGGTCATGTATTGATCTTAGTTATTTTATTACTATTATCAAAACTATAAACTATTTCTTCTGTTTCATGAAATGAAGGAATAATGTGATCAGGGTTTCTACTTTGTGTTGCTCTTGAATATGTTTGTCACCATCCTGCGTGTCCTGTCTCTCCTCCTCGTTTCCTCCTCCTCTGCAGCTGTTATAACTGTGGAGGTCTGGATCACCATGCCAAGGAGTGTGACCTGCCCCCCCAGCCAAAGAAATGCCACTACTGCCAGAGCATCACGCACATGGTGGCTCAGTGTCCCCACAAGGCGCTGGCGCCCGCCACCGGCTCTCAGGACCAACAAGCGTCGTCTACCTCGGCCCTCAGCCCGGGGAGCGGGCCCTTCCTCTGCCCCCCAGAGGAGGAGGAGCGCTCCGGCTCGTCTCCCCTCGAGGGCTCCTCCTCCTCCCCCGAGGAGCCACACCCACACCGCGGCCCCCGCACCCAGAGGTGGAGGAAATCTTGAATACGGCCCGTAGAGGTGAACCTTTCACCGTTAACCCCTGACCCTCATGTCTCCCCTCAATCAAGGATACCTGAAGCCCCCCCCCACCCCCAGCCCCCACCCCTCATCTACCTCACACCTGTGAAAAAAATGGGAGGTCTTGATTTCTGTACTTTTATTTTTATTTTTCTAACAGCGCAGCTATGGCAACGATCAATGGGGTACAGGTGTGCGTGAATGTGTGTGACTTGCAGTCATCGGGTGCAGCTATGGCAACCACTGCTGGAATAGTAACTGCAGGGACTCTGACTGTTGTTCTTGTTTCAATCAGTGCAGCTCAAGAGTGAAACAACGTGCTATGAGTCTTGTTTTTCCTTTTTTTTTCTCTCTCTCCTAGGACCTAAATGTCGGCCATTTTGAATGCTTTTTGTCTTCCTTTCAGATGTTGTCGATTTAAAGCCACACATTTCTATCCCGTAGGCCGAATCATTCCCGATAATCATGTCGCATCCTTTTGGCACACACGGTAGCTCATCTTAAGAAGGATTAGAAGAAGACTTGTAAGAGCTCAAGACCCTCTAAGCGATAACACAGACCCGTAAGGATTGTTAGCTCGGCCCATGAAGATCTTTAGGGAAAGTTTATGTTTTTTTTTTTTTTTTAAAAGACGGTGAGCTGCTAAACACATCCTCGTTACCTTGAAACACTCGCTACAAACCTCTCTCTTACATGAAACAGACTGGACCAAGTGATTGTCACAGAGTGAGCAATGTGTGTTTGTGCATGCATGTGCAGGACTGGGAGAGGGAACGAGAAGGTGTGTGTGTTTGTATGCGTGAGTTGTGCATGCTCAGAAAGAAAGCACAATGGTCCCACCGGCCTCTTCTCCAGTCGTGAGTGAACACCATCAACGTTTGGGTTTATTAGACGTCGACCAGCTCAGATAACACATTGTATAATCCCGCTAGATCATAGTTTATATTCCAGGTAATGGAGCCATCATTAGACTTCCATTTTGGTTGTTGCCGAATTAAATGGAAATAACATTACAGCTTATAAATCATAGTATAAGTAATTAATATATATATATGTAAAGTCACAGGATATAATTGAAATTCTATTAACTTTAAGTAATGCATACATGAGGAACTAGCTCTGACACAGCCCTGTGTGTTGCATGGGATACTTTGTTGTTGTGTGGAAACGTGTAGCTCTCTCTCTATTCAACAGGTTTCATCTACATTTTACTACACACCTTTGAATAGTCAGCCACCACCTCTGACCCAGCACAAAGACACGCCTTGTTTGATTATACGTGCAGATCGTTACAGTGTCATCACAGCTGCTCTACTTACTTAATTACCTCACGAATGTCACAGGACGTCGAGCTGTTTGCTCTCCCAGCTGTGATGCAGTTCGATCGAACCATCTGTTCTTTTTTTCCATCTGTGCCTACCAGTTGTTAGTCAGCACCAGCCAGGTGATGCTCCCTCCTCGTTAGTGTGAGAGGCCGTCACTGCTGCTGTTTCAGACTCACTGAAGAGAGAGAGGGAGAGAGAGAGAGAGAGAGAGAGAGAGAGAGAGAGAGGGAGAGAGAGGGAGAGAGAGAGAGAGAGAGAGAGAGAGAGAGAGAGAGAGAGAGAGAGAGAGAGCTGCTTTTGGTATAACTTGAATCCCAAGCATGGCTTTAGTGGCACTTATTTGTGACCTAATAACTCTTCTCTGACCATATTGAATGTGAAAAGAGCTTATCTGAAGTCGACTCCACACAAAGTTCATGTCGGGTGGCTTCAGAGTTATATCCTAATGTTCTGACAAATCAAAATAACTTTGTATGATGAAATCAAACTCTCTTGTGTGTTTATATAAAGCTCTAAGTAGACAACCAACTTTTTTTGGTATATTTCTATACCAAAAAAAGCCAAAATAGTTTGGCTTCGTTTTTTTTGAAGGCATTTAAAGCAAAGACTTGCTGAAGTGCTCGCTATCCTCGACCTTTCAGAATAAGAGGGAGTTATTGCTGAGTTAGCGCAGCACTGCGGTTGTTATTGTTTTCTTTTTTAATGTACAGCTTTTTGAATGTTTGCGTGCGTTAAAAAAAAGAAAAGAAAATCTCAAACAATGCAGACAGGAAAAAATGACATGAAAAAAAGTGAATGACCAAAACCACATAAGGAGCACAGCCCATGCTCGTATCTTTACAGGAAAACATCTTTTTGTATGATGTATTTGTACATTTTTACACACAATTCCTCTCAGGATGATGAACTGTTCTCAGGGAATTAACCAAAAAAAAAAAGTGTATTTTATTCTTTTGGGAATCATCCACTGACTGACTCAAAAAACACTCTTGTTAAAGCAATGGCGAAGAGACGTATGTAACCGATTCATGTACCGATATTAGCAACTACCTCTTGTGTTATACATAGTTGTTCACTTCTTTTTGTTTTGTATATGTTTGATGAGCTTGTATGAATAACTGTAGGTCTCTATTGTACTGAGGTGTTGTGTGAGAAGTACCCTCGTGTTGCCACAGACTCCCTGGTCTTTCTTCCCACATTTAACAAGTAACTTTTTTTCTTTTACTGCAAAGCATTTTTTTAGTTTTTTTTGTTTACAGCAAAAGCCTACCTCATATGAGCTGTTCATCCACACACTCCTTACCTCCTCCCAGACCCGCTATACCTCCTCCATGCAGTCGTTTCTTCATTAGATTGCCACTTGTCGCACTAGAGTCACACTGCATTGTCAACGGATCAGCCCTGCAATGGCTCGTCACTCGTGACTCCAAATACGTCTTACAATCAAAGCCCCTTCGAAGGTTTTACACAGTTTTCAGAATGGCCGTGCTCGTCTCAAACACACAGGGTGACGTTTTTCTGCCGGCTCTGTGTTATATACTGTCAGTATACACTCATCACTTATCTGCAGACAGCCAGTGAGTTTGTTGGGCTATAGCTAGATGTGTTGAATATGAAATATTTAACATTTCCATGTGAACACAGTTTGAAAAGACGTGGATTGATGTTTCTTAGTTTGTAAGTATTTTATCTTAACCGTTTTAGTAACCACTTCATGCGATGGGCTTGAGGTGGAGAGGAATAGAATTGTACTTCGCACATGGAGTGTCTCTCTGATCCTATGACCAAATAGATACTTCCTGTCTTTGGGCTCCGTGGTAATGGCCTTTGTCAGCCATTTTTACAGCCTCAGATAATCAGGAGTTGTGTGGTTTGGAGATGACGCCCCTTTTTGTTGCAAACTACATTTGTAGTTTAGAGCGGCATTGGAGTTCACATGAAATCAGTAGATTTTGTACTAATGGTGACATTGCATAGACGTCATTCTAAAAAAAAAAAAAAAAAAAAAAAAAAAAAAAAAAAAAGGTTTGAGGAGATGAATATTGTTAAAGGTGCTTTTTAAAAACTAACTCATGAGATCAAAGATTGATTTTGCATATGGCTGCGGTCTTATAGGTCATGTTGCAGTGGGCCTACATATGGAACTGAATGCTTGTTTATGCCAGTTATGAACAAAATACACGGCCGCGGTAAAATATAGTGATATTATTATTGTTAGTAGCTTTATCTTTTCTTCCAATCAATGTTACTACTGATTGATCTCTTGTTAATTGTCCTGTTCAGTATTCGACACAGCCAAGACACCCTCAAGAGAATAATCTCCTTATAATAATAAAATGGTTATTGTAAAGGTTTGTCAAGGCTACACGTAGGATAACAAATTGTTATGAATATTTTCCAACTTGTCTTAAGTTTTGAATCATGCAAATATGATTATAAGAGTTTCATCCATGTAATCCTCAAACATGTTGCAGAGGGTTTTACTGAAGACCAAACATAGGTCAACTTGAATGTACCAGTTCTATCTCAGCAGAAGGTCCAAACAAGAAAGCTCGAGAGTGTGGTCACACATTTTCTGGACCCCGTTCCTAATGACTAGCTTCTTCCACACTCGTGCATTTCTGCCCCGCAGCTGTGTTGATGAAGAACATGTCGTATGAAGAGGGGGATACACCTGCTATGTGGAGTTAGGCAGTGTTCAAAGGCATTATAGAGATTGTATCACTCACATGACACCATGTTGACAAAGATTGTGATATTTATTTAGAAACCGGGATAAAAAAAAAAGCATTCTTTGTTTGTATCTTTTATTTCATTAACTGGACTTGTGTAGAGTTAAAAGGATAATTCAGGTTGTTTGGTCACATGATTTCTTTTGGCTGAATCTCTGTCGGTCGTGTCTGTCCTACATTAATTACAGACATGTCCGAGCTAGCTGGGGTCCTCTTCAGGGAGTCTGCCATGTTGCATCACCATGTTTCTACAATAGCCAAGAATGGATATACCAATTTGACATATTAAATATTTTTCCTGCATATTAAGTATTATGGCAGTATGGGTGTTGGAACGCACAGATTGGCTTTAGAGAGCCTTTTTGTGCGTTTTTATGTTACCTGAAGGCCACTGTAGTTCTCCGACATGCTTGTAAAGCAAGGGGTGGGTGGAGGGCTATTAGACAGATATCAGTCTAACTTTGGTCCGTTAAAATATCCTGCTACTGCCAGCTTCAGCCTTACCTGAGCTTAACTTAGCACAGACTGAAAGCTCACTCTGTTTTGCATTTTCAAGATAATCCATTTGAATTTTACTGGGTTTTATTGGCTTTTTCTTAAACCTGAGAGGAGCATTTAAACACTTTTTGAACTTTGAAAAGTTCAAACTCTTTGGGTTTTTAGGTTTTCATTGGAGAATGAATGACTCCTTATTCAATTAGAATAATACCTCATAGTATAATTGAAGGAAACATTTCTAAACTCTTGTCTAAATTCTTCAGCAGCTCGGTGGATCAATGGCTAAAATAAAACCATGCACACTGGGCCAAAGACGACCCCAAAACCCCCCAAAAAATCATATGAAAATCACATTTAGGCCATATTTAAGACAGAACACACTGAATTATCCTCAACAATGCATCAACAGCCTTTAGAGACAGACAGGATGTACTATGCCATGATCCCCGACGGGAAACCTCAGCAGCCAGTC